TTTGTTAATGCACCCATGAGCCCTTCAGCTGAGCATTAACTCCTGGTGACTCCAAATAGGGCACCCAGAGCACCTCTCTTCTGAGGGCAGCATCAGCCCCCAAGGGCTGTACTCCTCCTGCCTATAGGCTGTTCCTCCCTGGGGCCAAACAACTGTCCCTGGGACTTTTTGTAGGGTTTTATCCTCCTTTTTTACCTTTTCTGTTGGGCTGTTCCTCACTATTTGCACTGGGGCTTTCCCTGACTGTGATGCCCCCTTGCAAAGGCACAAGCCCTGGAGCTGGCAGGGACAGAGCCAGTCCTGCTGGGGTGCAAGGGGCAATGACTTCAATTTAGGGACTGCCAGAGGGGGGACAGCTTGCCTCGAGGTGTGGAAAGGGCCCATTCATTCTCAGCTGGCACATCTTAAATGGGAGGATTAAAAACTCAAAGCAGTGCTTGTAAGTTAATTCTTTAATCGAGAGGAGCAAGAGGCCACCACTTGCCCCACACAGGGGCTGGCTGTGCTCTGGGTGGTACTGTTGGTGAGGGGCCATGTCTGTGACCCCCAGCTTCTCCACTGCCCTCTGGCAGCCCCTCATCCCCCTACAACTGGGGGTGTTGCTGTGCCAGCACTGCTCTTGGTCATGCTGCAGGAACAAGTCTCAATAAATTAAGATGAAACTTCTTCATGTGTGGTTGATAAACCACTGGGAACCCAGGGAGGGGGAGAAATCACCCTCCAGCCTGGGTGGGGGATGCTCAGAGCCCGGCTGGAATTGGCCTTGAGTGACTTGCTCCCATGCTGAGTTGGCTCTGGGTTGACCTGGAGTCCTCCCTTGGTCCCTGCCCACCTGGGCCATGCCACAGGCAGCTGCTGGGATCTCTACAGTGGTGTATTGCCCCAGGATTGGACCGCAGAGGATGGGGAGCTAAGGGAGGAGGACTGTAGTGTTGCCATTACTGCTGCTGGTCCATATAGACCTGCACAGCTTTCCACAGTGCCCGTATATTGCCTTCCCCAAAGCCTGGCGCTCCCCGACGGTCAATGAGCTCCAGGAAGAAGGTCTCCTCAGAGAATATGGGATGGGTGAAGATCTGCATCAAATACTCCTGAGAAGTTTTCTCTCTGGCATCAGTGCCGAGCTGGCCCTTGTCCCCAGGCACTGTGGTGTCCAGGAGGATGCCAAGCTCTGCCAACATGCTGGGATCCTGCCCAGCCCCCTGGATCTCCTCTGCTTTGCCCCCCTGGCTGTAATAGGTGGTGGGGGGTGTGAAGAACTGCACACCCTGCTGCTGCAAAGCCCTGGTTGTGGTGACGATATCAGTGGTGCAGAGGCCGACGTGCTGGATCCCAGCCCCACCATGCTGCTCCAGGAATGTGTCAACTTGGTTGGTGCCATCCTGTGAGAGGGACTCGGCGAAGACGAGCTTACATCCATGTGCTGGGGCACCCTGGGCACTCTGCAGCGCGAGGAGCAGCATACCCACCCCTTGTCCCCCCAGCACATA